AATAGTAAAGAATCATGAATAAGATAACACAAAAATAGTCCTAGTACTACTGGTAAGCCTAGGAGGAATACACTACTAATTGTCAACCTTCAACCCTAATCCTCAACCTGCACGTCTTCCTATCGTGGGTCATATCTTTGGTAAGCTGGAGCAATGACATGTCCTGCCTAACAACCTCTCCCCAATACTTCTTAGGCCTGCCCCTACCCTTCCTCAGACCTGCAATGGACAACCTCTCACACCTCCTGACCGGAGCATCTATGACTCTCCTTTTCGCATGCCCGAACCATCTCAGCCTCGACTCCCGCAACTTGTACTCCACATATGCAACTCCTCCCTAATAACTTCATTCCTGATCTTGTCCTTCCTGGTATGATCACACATCCATCTCAGCATCCTCATCTCAGCTACTTTCATCTTCTGGATATGGGACTTCTTGACGGGCCAACACTCAGCCCCACGCAACATACTCGGTCTAACTACCACTCTGTAGAACTTGCCCTTAAGTCTAGGTGGCACACTCTTATCACACAAAACCCCCGAGGCAAGCCTCCACCTCATCCACCCCGCTCCAATACGATGGGTAACATCCTCGTCAATCTCCCCGTTGCCTTGAAGTGAAAAATAACAAAGTCTGAACCCATATTTCAAAAGGACAGTGTGTTTATTCCTAATTAAGAACCTTAAAGGTTGAATGCTTCAAGTTTATATGTGGAGCCTCTGCTTATATGGACCTTAAAGATTTGGATGAATCTAGCACATTTCCCGTTTGCATTAACTATTTGATTTTATACAGAGAAAGAGAAATATCACAGACAGTTGAAGCTTTTCTTGCTGGTAAATATGAAGACAGACCTTCAAGTGGCAATAACATGCTTCGGACTGCAGAGATAAACAATTCATTCAATCCTGAATTCAGGAAACCTGAGGATAAACCTTCACATGCCAATAGAATTGCTCGGAATGCAAAGGAAGTGAGCAACTCATTGGCTCCGGAATTGAGAAGAAGCAGATCAACACCACGTGGAAAATTCATGCTTTTGCCCTGAGAACTCCATATACACACATCATTTGTATCAACTAATTTGTTAGTTCTTGTACAGCCACTTCATGCATTTTGGAGCATGCCTTTCATAGTAATTCGAGAAAGTTGAAGATGTCAATGAGGACTTCAACCGGTATTGCTGTATCCTCAAACCGTAATTGAAGTGATATTATATATGTACAGAAAATTGTATTTGTTTCAATATAAGGAATGACAGATCAATGGATTTTTGTGAGTTTATTCGAACATGGATTAAAATGGCATGCCCGAAGTATTTCCATAATGTTGTGAATAATCATGAAAGCAATCCATTCAGTATCCGGCTGCTAGTCAGAATCAATGAGCTATACTGCCAATTCGTTAAATGATTGTGAAGGAAACTTGGTGAGCTTTGGGGTGTGTTTGGTATATAGGAAAATATTTTCTTGGAAATGAGTTTTTGATTGGTGAATGAAAAACTCTTCACTAGAAAATATTTTCTAGTGTTTGGTTAGTGAGTAGAAAATATTTCTTTTAGAAAATATATAAATTAGGCAAGTACTGAGGGAGAGTGGTTGGTCGGGTCCAAGGGCCAGGGTCAGGGTGGTCGAGGGGTTGGGGGTGGAGGGGTGTGGTGTGGTGGGTTGGTTGTGGCGGGGTAAGGGGTGGGCGTGGGGTGAGGGGTGAGGCGTAGGGGGTGGGGTGGAGGGTAAGAGTGGGGTGGATGGGTGGGGTGTGGTGGGTTGGTTGTGGGGGGGTATAGGGTGGGCATGGGGTTGGGGGTGAGGCATAGGGGGTGGGGTGGGGTGGAAGGTAAGAGCGTTGGCGTGGGTGGGGGTAGAGAATAGGTGGGGAAATGTTGAAAAAGAGTTTTGGAAAATATTTTCCCTCTTCTCGGTAGGGATGTAGGAAAATGAGTTTACGAGGAAAATATTTTTCAAAATATTTAAGCCAACCAAACATTCTAATAGAGACTATTCATTACAAATCAACTCTCTTTCCAACAACAACATTGATAATTTATATCCCGCTCATATTCATTACACGTACAATGATATACGTAATGTCTGAAAGATTATGATGGCAGTATCTCGTCCACAGGTCATCACGGGCGGCTATTGCGTAAAGCCAATAAAGCCTAGGCTTTAGCCCCTAATTTTTGGGGACCCCACTTTTACCAATAGGATCATAAGCTTATATTATTTTTAGAAAACAATGAGGTTTTCTTAAAAAAAGGCACTGCATACATGCACTGTGAAAGGAATGATATACTACTAGTAATAACTTTTGACTAAAAAAAGTGGGCCCCAAAAATCAATTAAGGTGACGTTGAGAATGCAAATTTTGGAAGAAATTATCACAATTATTCTCTTTTAGCTAGTTTCTCTCGATTAGACCTTTCCACTTCCTTCTCGGTTTACTTTTTGTAATACTCTTTTTATACTTTCTCACAAAGTGACAGTGCAATATATTGCTATTATATTTTCTTTGTTAATTCATCTCACAATATTGTTCATGAAAAGCTATAGTTTATTATTCTGTGATTGTTGGGGTATCACGCATTGCACGAACACGAAGATTATTGAAGCAACAAATATTTCAAAGTTATTGAATCAAATTCTTCTATTCCAACTTTGTTAGTATTATTTTTCTTGATATTTTGTTACGTAGGTATATATTGTCATTTGAATATTTACTAGAATTCAAATATGTCAAAGAGAAAGTATGAGCCCGATTATTCAACTTGAAAAAAAGAAGAACAGAAAAGTTGAATCTTTGATACAATCCCAAAAAGGGGCTATTGATAAATTTTTAATAAATATAAAAAAACTCAATAAGAAATTGTAGAAGAATATTCTCGAAATGAACAAATCACTAAGCAAGTTGAGTTAGATGATAACAGTCTAACACCATCCAAGAAGAAGAGGAAAGTAGTGTTCAATATAAAAAGACTTGATTTATTTCCAAATGCCTATTGCCCGGAAAGAAGATTTTCAAAATTAAAACGGTTAAGGGTCTGATTTACCCTTATACTATCATAAAAAGGCCTTATTTATCCCCCATTTGAGTTTCTTATCAAAAATATCCCCACCGTTATACATTAGTTGCACATTTATCCCTGTCCCGTTAAAAGCGCCCTCCCAGATTTTTAAGGAGCACGTGGCATCCTCTTATTGGACCAATTGACCCGCCCCAACTCTTAATTAAAACCTGCCCGGCCCAACCATTAAACTTAGACCCATCGGTAAAATTTAGTCCATTTTCTCTCGAGCTTTTCATCTCCCTCAAAAAGAAAATACCTAGGGTTCATCGCACCCCCATTACAACCAATTCATTCCACATGCTTTCTTCTACGACTGCAGTTAAAGGTAATTGCTTTCTTCAAGTAACTGTTTGTTTAAGCTGTTACATGTATTTTCTTGCTTAAATTTGCCGCGAATTAGTCACCTTTAGGGATTTCGTTCTTTAATCTTGTTATGGTTTTGATTATGTGCTTAAATCTTTAAAGTTGACAGTTGGCTGTGTTGTTTATGAGTGGTTTTGGTTTGCATGGATTGTCTAGGTGGGTTTTCCATTAGGGTTTATTCGAAACAGATTTATTTTCGGATTTTTGTGTAGTTTGTGGTCCACGTGGTTTTGGCCTTTTTGTTTGTTTAATGAAAAAATTGGTGGCAGTACTGAGATTGTGGGGTCTTAAGTTTGGGGTTTAAGGTATTTTTTCTCGGTGTATGGTTGTTGACCCCAACTGAATATTTTAAAGCTAGTGGGACTTCACTTTCTTATTGTATGTGGTCCTGTTGTTGCATATTTTTTTGTTTTTCTGGTTCCCCATGTTTGTCTTTCCTCGTGGTCGATTAATTTATTGTTTGATAACATTTTCTTTATTGTTTAACAGTCATTTTTTAGAGCTTTCAGTTTAACCTTTTCTCTATAGATTTTCTTTATTGTTTTAACAATTTAACAGTCTTCATTTTTTAACAATTTAACAGTCTTTCAGTTTAACCTTTTCTTTATAGATTTTCATTTTAACAGTCATCATTTTCTATAGCTTTTCTTCATTGTTTAACCTGTATTTTAGTTTTGTTGCCATATTCATTGCACATTATTGTTCAATCATAACAGACATTTATTTTCTTAACTTTTCAAGATATTAAAGATGACTTTGGTGGACATAATGTTCCATCATGGTGGGGATTGGATCAGAAAACCCCATGTGTTATATTCAAAGAAGCTTGTTCACTCTTGGGAAGGTTATGACTCTGACCTTATTTCCTTTATTGATCTAGTAAATGAGTACACTGGGGAATTGATGTATGTTGGTGTTCAACAACTAATTGTAAATGGACCTTCTGGTAACTATTATGAAGTAGTGGATGATTCTGGGATAAGACATTTATTGTCTTTAATATCTGATGAGTTTAAGTTTCTTAACTTCTATGCAGTAGATGAATGTGAATTATCTGTGAATGTTCCTAATGTTGTCCATTATTCTGATTCACATCCATCACTAATTGAAGTTGGTACAGATTGTAGTGAGGTTGAGTGAGAGAGTGAGAGTGACAATGACAGTAGGGTGATGAGGTAGGATATGATTCTGAGGAATTACAACAATTGCATGTCAAAAAAATAGAGAAATTGATGTTGGACTGCACAATTACAAGGAATTGTATAAGGGTATGAGCTTCAAGGACATACCTGAAGCAAGAAAATGTATTAACTTCTATGCCCTGGCAAACAAAAAGGATTTAAAACAAGAAAAAAATGATAAAGAAAGATTAAGGTACAAATGTGTTCTTGGTTGCCCTTTTGTTGTTCTTATTTCCGGGGATGAAAACCTTCTAGGGGTTAGGATAAAGAATTAAAATCAGAGCATACTTGTGATGAAACATTTGATAATAGTAGGGTTGATTATCATACACTTGCACATTACTTCAAGAAAAAGCTGCAAGATAATCCTATGTATAAGATTAAAGAGATGAGAGCAGATATAAAAAATGTGTTTAATACAAATGTCAGTTATGGAAAGTGTAAGAGGGCTAAAAGAGAGATTTTAGAGAAACTAGAAGGCAGTTTTACAGATGGCTACAATAAAATTGAGGCATATGCCAATGAACTTGGAGAAAGTAATCCAGGGAGTGATGTGATCATTAACTTGTCAAATGATGCACTTGCTCAAGGTGTTAGAAGATTCTTGAGAATGTATATTTGCTTCATGCTCTTAAGATGGGTTTTAAGGAAGGTTTGAGACCTTTCATCGTCTTGGATGGGACCTTTCTTAAAGGGAAAGCGAAAGGTCAATTGTTAATTGTTGTTGGTTTGGACTGTAATAACCAAACCTATCCTCTAGCTTGGGCAATTGTAGATAAGGAAACTAAGAGAACATTGAATTGGTTCTTGGAATTACTTCAAAGGTCATTGGATCTCAAAGAGGGTGAAGAGATTACCTTCATGTCAGACATGCAGAAGGTAGTCTTCCCATTCTAGTTATTTATTTCCTTACTGTTATGTCTATCTTATTTGTGTCCTTTAACTATTCTTATTTGAATTTATTTTATGTAGGGATTGATTCAGGCAGTCCATAATGTGCTTCTAGAGTCAAATCAAGATATTTGTTAAACACATTGAGGCAAACTGGTGCAAAAAATGGAGAACAGATGAGTTTAAGAAGTTGTTATGGTGGTGTTCATGGTGCTCATATGAGGAAGACTTCAAGGACCAGTTGAAGAGCATTGGTAAACTGGATAAGGAAGCTGCAGAAGCCTTACTCAAATATCCTCCTCAAGCTTGGTGTAGAGCCTATTTTGACACAGTGTATAAGAACCAAAGAGTTGACAATAATTTCACAAAATCCGTAAATGCATGAATTTTAGAAGCTAGGCAGAAGCCAATCATTAACATGCTTGAGGATATAAGGATTAAGCTTATGAACTAGTTGAGGGAGAGAGAAGAATCTGCTAGTTTATGGGCTACATCTTTCAGTCCACATAGCATGAAGTTATACAATGAGTACCTGAAGATAGCTAATAGACGTGTTGTTAACTCCAATGGTGAATTTGGATATAAAGTCAAAGAAGAGGGAGATACGCACACTGTCAATGTGGCTGTGAAGAGATGCACATGTAGGGGATGGGATCTCATTGGAATTCCATGCCCCCATGCCATTAAAGCAATTCAGTACAAGAAGATGGATCCTTTGAAAGAAATAAATTGGTGGTATAGCAAAGAAGCATACATGCTTACTTATAAACACAAATTGCAGCCAGTCAGGGGTGAAAAATTTTGGAAAGTTGAAGAATCTCAAGCAATGAAACCACCCGAGTTAGTCAAGCTGGCTGGAAGGCCTAAAATCAAGAGATCAAGGCAAAAAGATGAAGCAATCAAGCAGCAAGGTGAGTGGGGAGTTTCTAGGAAGGGAAGAGTTATGACATGCAACAACCGTGGATAGACAAAGCATAATGCTAGGGGATGTGACAAGGTAAGAATTAATTTAACAATTTTATTTACTCATTAATGGATTTATCTAACATCTCTAACTTGTTTAATAGCTACCCAACAAGGAGAAAAGGCAAAGAATGCTTGATGAAGATGAAGAAGTGGGGCAACATCCACAAGAAGAAATCAACCTTACTGCACCCCAATGTAGTCAAGCAAGTCAAGGCCCAGAGTTTGTTTTCATGCATACACCGGGTGTCTATAGTGAGACTTCAAGCAGTTCATTTCCTGCTTTTGAGCATCCAGAACTAGAAATGAACCAGCTATAAGGCCTATGGTTGTGTCAGAAGAAAAAGCAAGGCTTCAACAGAGACAACAACCATCACAACCTTCAGGATCAAGGGTAATTGCATTCAAAGGTGATCATAATGGTTTAAGTGTTCCATCAAATCTTCCTTACTCACCAGGCAGCCTCACATGGAAGGGAAAATCTGCTATTACTGGAAGACAATTGGAAATGCAAAGTAGGCAAAGAATTGAGAAGTTGGTGCCAAGGAAGAGAAACAAATGATGTGTGGTAGTTGAAGTCTTTTGGGTTTGTTGTTACTGCATTCTGACAGTATAATCAACAGCTATTTTTTTGTTTAATTTGATGGTAAATTGAAGGTCGTATTATGACCAAGAGTCTGTAAGTTTTTGGGGGTCATAATTTTGCATCCAACAGTCCATCAAACTGAAATTTGCTAAGTTAAGCACTATGCAGTTGATTTAAGTATTTGTTTAGTGCTGCTGAGCAGATTTGTTTAGTTACTGTTAAGTAATATGCAGGCAGATTTGTTTAGTTATTGTTAATCGAAATGCAGATTTTAGTGCTGCTGTTAAGCAATATGCAGATTCGTCTCATTTCAGATGTTATGCAGATGCAGATTTGTCTCATTTCAGTGTACTAATATGCAGTCCGATTTGCTACTACTCTTATGAGTAAGGATGAAATAGACAGTGTCTCATTTCAATAAGCAGATAACAATTCTAGAATAAAGAACCTAGAAACACCAAATTTATATTTACCAAGTACATATTTACCAAGAACAACTAAGTTCACATTTACCAAGTGCAAAAGAAGTTAATACACCAAGTTCACTATTTGAAAACAGAACTAAAGGACCTGGAAACACTTCATAATATCCCAGAAACAAGGCACCAAGTTAAGACTTCATATTTAGGACTTGGTACCAATACCAAGTTAAAACAAAACTGAAACACTTCATTGTTTACAACTTAAGCACCAATACAAAAACTTAAAAAGTTGCACTTCATATATCAACTTCACTTCATTAGTATTGCAGCAACAAATCCTATAAATATTGCCCATGAAATCATAATGACGATCTTCATATTTAGGACTTTCTCTTCCAATTTACGAGCTTTGTTCGCTTCCGAATTCTTTAAAGCCTTCAAGCCATCCACTCTTTCCTTTAATCTGTCCCTTTCAAGAATAATCGCATCCATCGTCGACTTCATATTGTTGAGTTTAACATTAGCGGCATCCAATTTGTAATTCATATTGTTAATTGTAGTGAGCGCTCGATCTGGTAACACATCATCTTGCCATTCCCAATAACCGCACGAGCTTATCTACCAACACAAAGCATACAACTTGTAATTATGAACCACTAATACAAGGGAAAATTAAATTATCGAAAAAATCAAATGGAACCAGAATAAAAGAAATAATACATACATCAGGTTTAGGGCACTTAAAGAATCTCCTACCGGGATTATATGGACTCGTTGAAGTGAAGTGGTTAGCAATTTCCCCACAATGGCACCTCCTCTTTGATGAATAACTACTTTCTGACATGAGGAAACTTGCTATGGTGGAAAAACTTCACAACCCCTTTTATGAAGTTAAGAAGAAAGCAAATGGGAGAGAAAGACTTTACAATGGAGCTGAAAATAGCGATGGGAATGGACCCTAGGTATTTTCTTTCTGAAGGAGATGGACTAAATTTTACCGATGGGTCTAAGTTTAATGGCTGGGTCGGGCGGGTTTTAATTAAGAGTTGGGGCGGGTCAGTTGGTCCAATAAGAGGATGCCACGTGCTCCTTAAAAATCTGGGAGGGTGCTTTTAACGGGAAAGGGATAAATGTGCAACTAATGTATAACGGTGGGGATATTTTTGATAAGAAACTCAAACGGGGGATAAATAAGGCCTATTTATGATAGAATAAGGGCAAATCAGACCCTTAACCGAAATTAAAATTGATAAAATCTTATTTAAGATCAACAATGTCTCAGGAGAAATTGAATGGACTAGCTATATTATTAATTGAAAAAGTAATATTAGAAGAAATAGATTATAAAACAATTATTCACAACTTTGCATCTCAAAAAGTTAGAAAAATAGACTCCAAATAATATATATATATATATATATATATATGTGTGTGTGTGTGTGTGTGTGTTCTTTTTTGAGAATTTTTTTAAGGCCTCTCGTTGAAGTTTGCTTTAGGCCCCCAATAGTATTGAGCCGGCCCTGCAGGCTACCCTGACTAATGACATTTTAAACAGTACAGTTGAAAAAAGTTCCACCCAAAAATAATAAAAGTTGCAGATACAATGTAAAAGCAAAAGTTGCACACGTTTAGCATTAGGCTAAAGAGCAGCAAACGGACACAATAACAATAAAGAGGAGATTTTAAAAGAAGGTTTTCACATGACACAATTACACCTTTAAACAATGTTTATGGCTTACTAATTAACGTTTAAACTTGCTGCTTTAGACATGGGTTTCAACACTGATGCCATACTTTAAAGTTTAAACACCTGCTTTATGGTGCTTAGTGAGCCGTCCCCAGAAGAGATAGAAGAAAGGCCCGATATTCACCCGAAGTCTCTGAATGAACTGCATCATTCAGAGATTTCTTATGCTTTTTGTGGTACTCTGCTTATATCGATCTCAGTTCGCGTCACTATTATCCTAATGAGAGTTGTATCGTCCGTACCCATGCCCTTCATTGCCTTGTGCAACTCCTGCATCGATTAAACAGCGCCACTGAGAGCTTACAGAATACATTTCATAAAATAGGGCAGCCTGATGCACTAAAACTCCCACTATGTGCGGGGTCTGGGGAAGGGCCGGATCACAAGGGTCTATTGTACGCAGCCTTACCCTGCATTTCTGCAAGAGGCTGTTTCCACGGCCTGAACCCGTGACCTCCTGGTCACATAGCAGCAACTTTACCAGTTACGCAAGGCTTCCCTTCACGGAATACATTTCATGTAGGAGATAAATTACTAAATTAAAGATACAAATGATCCAACAGGTCATTATAGCAACGTGAATGCTACTAAAGAATTTCAATACATGTAATTTGTACCTTGGCAAAGTACTTTGCTGGATTCTCAGCACACTGCAAAATAGTCAAGAGGGCAAACTCAAAGGGTCCAGAGGTTTCACTTTTTACAGCCTGTAACAGTTGCTGTCCATTAGTAAACTGAAACTGAAAATCTAAAAAAGGTTAGCTAAATGAAGTCAGCTTACCTTTTTCAACGAGTTAGCATACATGCTGTGATAAGAAGCACTAACAGCAGCCAAATGCGCCCTGCTTCTTTCAGAAAATATTCGTATAAAAGCCTTCTCATCAGTTCCCAATTTCTTCTCCCCAGCTTTGAAAAGAGCTTTAGCATCATGTGTTAGAACATGTGCAGCGGAAGCAAGCATACAATCGGGCATCAATTACATGTAAACTAGACAACGCAATAATAACGAGATCAGGAACACTAACCTCTTGAAATAGTTGCACAAATTCTCCAAGCAACAAGAATCCAGGGCTGTAGTCTTCTGCTATATGCCTAGTAAAACCTTGAACACTTTTGCTTTTGGGTGGGCAAGAACAATACAACTCTAGGTTAGTCACACGGAAGAAACCTGTCTCTCTTTTCCTTATTAAATACACGAATTTTAAGCCCTAAAATAGGCTTAAAATCGTGTAAGACTAGGATTCCATAAGTAGAATCCTACTCTAACTCAAAAGAGTAACTTTTCTCCCAAGCTACTTTTTACCCAAGTTTGTCCAGGTTATTACTAGGTATAGCAGGGACCACAGAAATAATAAGAGGCTACTAATTATAGTATTAATTCTAAATTAGCATGAATTAATTCTTACTATAATTAATTGCAATTTATTCCACTAAAAAACTGCAATTGAACTCCTCAATATGAATTTCGAATATTCATTAACACTTATTTTAACTCCCCATGTTAAGATTTCAAATACCAGTTAATTAAATTAAATCACTGAAAATTTAATTCAATTAACTAATTAAATCCTTTATAATTCCGCTTAAACCATCTCATGTGACGGATACAGAATCCACCGGCCGGGTTTTCACATGAAAACTTATAAGCTTATATAAAGGGGTATCATCAAATCCAAAATCAAGTCATGGATTCTATCAACTAATCATTATTCACAAATGTTATTTGTTATTGTCCAATTTATTAGGCATATACTAACTCTAAATAGAGTCGTACCTTTTGATAAATCAAAACAATAAACAAATTACATCGATCATAACAATTATATCAAGATTAGGACTATAAGCTCATTTAATGAATTAGAGAAAGTGTTTTATATGTATTCAGTACAAAAACACCTTTTCTCTACTTGGTCCGTTCAATATACACTGAGTATACTAGCACAAGAAGTTGGAGTAAACCTACTCCCATAATCAAGACAAATTATACAATAATCTTGTGCTACAATCATCAAGATATTTTGTCCGATAATATCTTCAATTGTGAACATAGTTTATTAATTATGAGAACCAACAATTTAATCTTCTGTGTATGAGCTAAGACTCCATACACTAAATTGTCTACTACATAATCAAAAGGACACACATGTTACAAATGATCTATTTATAATAGTGCTTTATTGAATTGAATAAATTAAATAAATAATTGTTTCATAAAGAACAAAATATAATACTATGTCTAAACCGCATGGTTAATAGTATATCCCAACATCATGTTCCACCGAACCTCTGTCAACTTCTGGCCCTTCATACCGCATTGTCCTTGCATATGCTAGAAGCAACTGTAGTCATTAAGAAAAAATAATAAATCTTTATCAATATGTATATGATTATTAGAGACAATACAAGGTAATAAGACTCCCATTTACATGGTTGTATGCCTTTCTGTATGTCCAGTTTACATAGTAATCCCAGATTCTTCTGTTCTAGTCTCCAATCCAACACCGCATTTGCAATGAAGACTGCATCAATTATCTTCTCCCTCGTACAAAGGCATTTTGATGTCCAAATATCAGCTTACTGATTACTTTCTTGATTCATTCCTCTAACAACATAGCAACAACCTTATATTGTCTCCTTTTGTCTTTTTGTTTTCTTGAGCTGGGGGTTTCTCGGAAACAACCTCTCTACTCCTTCGGGGTAGGGGTGAGGTCTGCGTACATACTACCCTTCCCAGACCTCACTAGTGGGATTTTACTGGGTTGCTGTTGTTGTTGTATATTCACTGCCAATTATACTGATTGGCCGTTAATTGTGAAACCCTCTTTCTTTTTTGGTATAAGGGCAATGAGAGTAATATTGTAACCATTCACCATATGTCTATTCAAATGAAAAGCATTCAGAGCTCTCCTCATATCTCCTAAACTACTTTTACTCATTTATTTAAAAGTTGTTCCTGGGATTTTCTTCTTTCACGTACTTGTGATGATCATTTAACAGGGAATAAAGAAGGTTTGAAGGGAAAGAAAGGTTTCATGCGCGTAGAAACGCAAAGGATGACTACCTTTTTGTGATCATCATATGCTCAAGATAGACACCAAACATGGAATGGTAAAGTTGTTTAAAATATTGTATTTGAGAACATATCACTTCAGTGGCAACTATAACATCACCACTCAAAGCCTTCCTAACTAGGGTAGCATCCCTTCCTGCCGGATCACACATCCATAGCAATACTGCTTTCTGGAATCATTCAAAAAGATAAAACAAGGATAATGAAATAGAAAACATTAAAAACGCGGAATCACATATTTGGCCAATTGCAGTTTCTCTTTGAATGTATAAGCTTCAGGCCTCTGAAGTCCCTATTTACTAATAGCAGTGGCAAGTTATTGTGTTATCACATAATTTCTACCATCCATCAATACCTCAAGGTTACCGCTAAGCTCTTTGGCCAAGCGCTTGTTTAGCTCTTCAGAGTACATACTTCTGTATTCCTGTTGAATAAGAGCACGTTGAGTTGCATCGCGGTGGGCAAGGATGTTAATGACTGCTGCTTTATCACATCCAAGTCCTGCATTACACAGGCAAGTAATTAACTCAAAGGCCACCTGCAGACTATAAGTAGACTATCATTTAACGAATTATGAAGTCAATTTCTGATTTTTCAAGTATTATATATATATATATATATATATGCGATCATAAGAAATAAAATAGTATTTGCAAATAATGGTGTGGCCATCAGTATTTGAAATACTGGTAAAATATTGAAAAACTTATTTGAAAGAGTACTACAAGTGTGAAATAATGTTTCACTCACAAATCTTCAATTTTCTTTTACAAGATCTATTTTTAATTCAAGACAACAACTATAATTTAGTCTCAAATAAGCTGGGTCGGCTATATGAATCGTTACTAATCAAGTTACTCCATTTAAACCCATCTCATATTAAATACTATTTTATTTTTAAATACACGATATAAGCTTAAATACATGCTAGAACTACACGTGTTGTACCAGATCGACCCTCAAGCATATATAACTATCATTGCTTCAGTAAGATAATACCCTGGTAAATATTTTAAAAATTATTTACAAAATATATGGTCAAAGAAATCATTGGTTGACTCAAATATAATAGGTTCACAAGCTGGGCCTTATGATCTACCTTTTTTTTGTCATGCTTGAAGTTTAATTCAATGAAGTAGCAACTCATCATCCAAAAATAAAAGAAGGAAACCAACAAATTAAGCAAATGAATTACAGTAGAGAAGAGAAACATAATTTGTGAAAATTAAGCAGAGGAATTTTAATGGTACCTTTGAAAGCTTTATAAAGTTGCATGGCATCATCACGAGGTGAAGTTAGAACTGAAGGGACAGTTAGGCGTGCCATTTCTCGCTTTGTGCCTTCTTCTTTACGTTCTCTGTTTGATGTTATGCAGGTTTTGGTCAATACAGTTTGAAGTCGTCGGTGTACTTCATCATCAGCTAAATAAGAAAAATCAAACCGTGTGGGGAAGTACACTACATTGTCAATTGGTCAACAGGTTAACTACTACAACCACCTCTCCTTTTCGTCTGGTATACGGTTAAAATCAGGTATTGCCCGATTTCGTAGGCTCGGGGAGTTGCTTCGAGAAAAAGCTCAAAACGGATCCGGCTCGAGCTCGATGGCGGAGTATAGAACTTGAAGACCGAAGTGTTCGATGAAGGCCAAGGCCGAATATGACCAACCTCGAGAAAGTACCGTTATGGTTTATTAACAGAAAGAGCGAGATTCCCGCAACGACCTGAAGATCCCGGAGTAAATTCCGGAACGGATTTGTACTTGGTGGTTAGACAGCTATATAATAAGATTCCCTACTATAATTAGAAGTGTACCTTATTTAGGATTCCCCTAATATATAAAGGGGATCTCAATCATTTGTAAGGGACGATTCATTGACAAAGGAATATACATCTTCACTTTCTTGCTTACTATTCATCAGAGTTGCCTTATTATTTTATTGTTCTTACTAACTTTCCTCGAGGCCACCATAACTCGAGGCCAAGACTTGGCTTGCACACTGGTTTGATTTGCTTTACTTCTTCAATTTATATATTTAACTCCTTGTTAATCAATTAGTATTGGATTAAATCACATATCTTTGAAACCACAATATAAGTTTAAATTGTTACTCGGATTTTAGGGTAAACAATTTGGCGCCCACCATGGGGCTAAGGATAATAGTGATTGTTTCGGTACTGATTCTGATAACACACGTTATTTTCACACTTGTTCTTGTCAAGAATTTTTGTTCTCAGGTTAAAGCATGTCAAACTCCCAAAACGCACTCGCACATGGTGATGATGGTCTTGGATTTTACGGGGAAAACAATAATATAACTGCTCCATGAGATGGGTTGCCGCCGGTCAATCCCGGGGGAGTGCCGGTCGATCCAGTCGATATCAGTTAGCACATTGCATTGAATGCGGATTTAGGAGCAGACCCCGAAGGGAGTGTACGTAGGGAAGGCCGATCTGGTGGCCAAGGAACACAGGGTGTAGGAGACGGGGGAATTAGCCTCCAGGTAATATTCGAGATGTTACAGGCTTAGCAGGTTGCTATCGCTCAGCTTCAAAGTCAACATAAAACTTCCAGTGTGGTCGAACCAGAAGTGACTCATCGTATTGAGTCGGTGCTACAAAGGCCGAATGGTAATGGATCGGGGACTGATCCTGCAATTATGAAGATGCTCGAAGAACTCACCAAAAGAATCGAGTCTGGAGAGAAAAAAATCGAAGATAATGACAAGAAAGTGGATACATACAACTCACGAGTTGATCAAATACCGGGGGCACCCCCGATCTTAAAAGGTTTGGATGCAAAAAAGTTCGTGCAAAAGCCATTTCCTCAGAGTGCAACTCTGAAACCCATTCCTAACAAGTTCCTGTCACGACCCAACCCCGGTCGTGATGGCGCCCAACACACTGCTAGGCAAGCCCGACCATTTACACAACCTTAGCCAATTAATCTAGATAGATAAATAAATATTCACTAATAAAATACCAATTTAAGTGCGAAATCTCTGAAATAATCTCTAATATTCGAAAACCCCAAAATAAAACTACTAGTCAGCCCACAGAATCTGGTGTCACGAACATGAGCCTCTAATACAGAATATTCACCTAATCACAAATCTGTCTAGGAAAGAAAATGCGAATAAAAGGATAAAGATAGATGGGAGAGATCAAGGTTGCGAACGCCATGCAGCTACCTCGATACTCCCAGATCCTGCTGGCCTCAGCTAACAAATCCTCACTCACCCTGTGGTTGTACCTGGATCTGCACACAAGGTGCAGGGAGTATTGTGAGTACTTCCAACCCAGAAAGTAATAAACATAAATAAGGGTTGAGAGTAAGAAATCCTGGACAGGGACAAAGTAAGCTATAATACAGCAGCTCAATCTAAATAATATCAACTCAATAAACTAATAGAAAAAACAATTATAAATATCACAGCAGATAAATAAGTAAATGGCAATCAAGTATGCAATGCAACACATAAACTGGTACCTCCAGTACCCCGTTGCGGCCGTTGCAGCCCGTCCATATTTATGTCGACGGTGCTCACTGGGGGTGTGCAGACTCCGGGAGGGCCCTTACGGCCCAAGCGCAATAATAAGCCATCTCGTGGCATCAAACAGGCCCCTGGCCTCATATCAATATCATTCTAATACTGCTGCGGCGTGCAGCCCGATCCCATACTCAGTCCAAAAATCACATAAGCCTTTCGGCACAATAGTATAAAAATATTCAGCCCAAAACTTCATTTAAAAATATTAACTTAATTCTAATTTTAAGAAAAATGGCTGAGTTTTCAATACAGTATCGAATGCCCGGACTGAGTTTAATATTTATAAATATGGTAAGAACCATTTAAAAACAATCCCTAAGGATTCAAGTAGTTGGCACGAAGCCCAATTATGACAGTTAATCCATTTTTATGAGGATATTACAAATCTACAATCAAATAGGTATCAATTTTAAAAGCGGACGGACCAAGTCACAAATCCCTGACGGTGCTCTACCAGCCCGTTATCCGGCGTGCAAGTCACCTCACATAGCACTACGTTGTGCAAATTCGGGGTTTCAAACCCTCAACACAGCATTTACATTTATTACTAACCTCAAGCCGGCCAAAGTCCTAGCTTGCTATGCCCTTGCCTTTCGAATTCACCTCTTCGCGCTTCGAATCTGACCAAAACCACAACGAATACGTCACAATATGCTAAGGGAATATAACCCAATCGAAAAGACTCGAAAAACATCGAAAATCACGAAGTTGGCAAAACCCGAGCCCCGGGCCCACTTCTCGAAAAATTATAAATTTTACATCACCGGATTCCTTATCTCGCCACGAGTCTATACGTACAAAGAACACCAAAATCGGAGTCCAAATGACCCCTCAAATTTCCATTTTTGTTCTCTTAGGTTTCAAGCCTTAAACCACCATTTTCGACCTTAATTCCTCGAGTTTTCAGTGAAATTTCATGTATTTGCATGATAAAATTGTGTTCTAAGTCCAAGAATGCTTACCTGATCGAAGTCCCTGAATTTCCTCTTCAAAATCGCTCAAGAACACCCCAAGTCCGAAGTTAAAATATGTGTTCTGTAAATATTTCGCGAAGGGAATTAAAACCCCTTTCTGATCAGTTATTTCCGCTTCTGCGGTCCTTTGTCGCTTCTGCGACTACCGCATCTGCGGTAATATTTCCGCTTCTGCGGGATCTCCTAAAATTCAAAAATCGCTTCTGCGGTCTCCCTTCCGCATCTGCGGCTTCGCAGATGCGGCTCCCATAACCGCTTCTGCGAAAACAGCACCAGGCCCAAAAGTCGCTTCTGCGATCCTCCCTTCGCCTCTGCGCGACCGCTTCTGCGGCCCATTTCCGCAGAAGCGAAATTACCAGATATCAGATATGAACCTGCAATCTCCAACTTCAATTTTCATCCCGTTAGCCATCCGAAATCACCCTGAGGCCCTCGGGACCTCAACCAAAAATACAAACATGATCCAATACCTTATTCAAACTTGCTCCAATCATCAAAACACCTCAAACAACACTAAAACCATCATTTCTCATCGAATTCAAGCCTAAGTTCTTCTAAAACTTCCGAAACACGCATTCGATCAAAAATCCAACCAAAACACCTCCGAATGACCTGAAATTTTGCACACACATCTCAAATCACCTAACGAAGCTACTGCAACTCTCGGAATTCCATTCCGACCCTCGGATCAAAATCTCACCTATCAACCGGAATTCGCCAAAATACTAACTTTGCCAATTCGAGCCTAATTCTACACCGGACCTCTAAAATTACTTCCGATCACACTCCTAAGTCACAAATCATCCTACGAAGCTAACCGAATCATCGGAAATCACATCCGAGCCTTCTAACTCATAAGTCAACATCCGATTGACTTTTCCAAACCAAACCTTCCTTAAAGAGACTAAGTGTCTCATTTCCTACCAAAACCAATCCAAATCAACCCTAACACACCAAATGCCGATAATGAAACATGAAGAGGCATAGAGTGGGGAAAACGGGGCGGTAACTCACGTGACGACGGGTCGGGTCGTCACAGTTCCGTATGCCGGACATACCTAAATACAACGGGACAACCGATCCTAATGAACACATCACTTCGTACACATGCGGGATTAAAGGAAATGACTTAATGATGACGAGATCGAGTCGGTTTTGTTGAAAAATTTTGGGGAAACTTTGTCAAAAGGAGCGATGATTCGGTATCACAACCTGCCACCGAATTCCATCGACTCGTTTGCCATGTTAGCAGACGCCTTCGTGAAGGCGCACACTTGGGCCATAAAGGTCGCTACGAGGAAATCAGACGTTTTTAAGATAAGACAGAGGGGTGATGAAATGCTGAGGAGTTTCAGATGATTGGACCGTTCAAGCTTTCACCCAAGGGTTGAACGAGCGGATTGAAACAAAACTTGATCGTGTATCCAGTTGTAACCTGGGCAGATGTGAACAACCGATATCAATCAAATATTAGGGTCGAGGACGACCAATTAGGAGCCCCTTCCGGTTTAGTATATCTAAACAGGCTAGTAGTTAAAACCCAGAGGGACGTCGACAGGGAACCAAGGTTGAACAGAGAGCGATATCAACCATATACCGCGGATCGAAGGAACAATGGCTCGGGACGCAATCCTCCCCGGAATGATCGAAGGAACGATCAAGGACAAAATTCTAGGGGACTTATGAGTAAAAACAGTTTCGATAAGCACGTCGATCCCATGGAGGCACCTCGATTGTCGGAATATAACTTCAGCATTAATGCATCAGGCGTTGTATCAGCAATAGGAAGGATCAAAGATACCAGGTGGCCCAGACCTATACAAACTAATCCTTCCCAAAGAAACCCAAATTTGATGTGCAAATATCATGG